ATTTGTATTAAAACTGAAAATAAAGGAAAATTTTATTTAATTATTTTTATAAATGTCAATTATTTTACAGTCAAACTTCTATAGAGCGGAAATTTGGGGAAACCTTACCTCCATTGGATGAAGATTTTGAAACTATTCACCATTTTTATAAAACAATTCATTTGTTTTTATTAAATTTCTAAATAAAAACAATTAAAAATATATTTTTTGAAGAGTGGAAACTTATTATCATTGGTTAAAAATAACATTCGAAAAAAGGTACGATACAATAAAGGCTCTATTAGATAAAGGTTTGATTGCTATAAAAAAGGCTCAAATGTTATTGTGAAAAAAATGCCAAATGGAATTATTGATGTTGATTCATTTTAACCTAATTATATTTATAATTGTTAATCATCACTTATATATTACATAAAGTCGAATGAATCAAACAAATATAAACAAACAAATTAATTAATATATTATGATATAATCAAAGTTTGGTTTAAAAATGAATTATCCAAAAATAAAAACTTCATGTTGTTTTAATATGTCACAAGAAAAATAAATTTATTATAAAAACAATTTAAAACAACATTATTTATTTAAGAATATGCCTTCTTGCACACCATTCAAAATTGTGTCTATTATTCTTTTTATTGTTGGTATAGTACCACTTGTTTGTTGTATTTGTTAATAGGAAAACGCCAAAAAGACAAATTTTGACATATAGATTGCTTGGGTTATAAACTTAGTTGCAATGTTATCGATTTTATTTGATTATTCAAAAAGAAATTCAAAATGCAAAGTAAACAACGCGTTTTTTGATGGTCTGACATATGTTGAATCGATTATCTTTCCATTGATTTTCATATTTTTGGCATTCAAAAAGTGGCAGAATCAATTGAAAATTAAAACCATGATTATAACATTTTTAACATGTTTAGGAGTGCTGTTTTTAATGCTAGCAACATTTTTTCTTCCAAAATTCGTGTTACCAGAATCTATTGTGTGTCGGGAAGGTGGAGAAGATTTCGAATTTTTTGTTGTCTACTTTGGTATATTAGCCACTTTTGTTTTAGGAATACTATGTCTGATATTCCTTGTTGCTTTAACTTTCATTGTCAATTGCGAATCAAAAGAAAAGGAAATTCCTTACGAGGAAGTGATGATAAATGAAAATTCCGTTTAAAGCAAAAATAATCAATTGATTATGGTAAAATATTTAAGTTGATGATAAACAAAGAATTATTAATTACAAAATCAATAATAAAATTTATAAAGATAGATTAATATTGTGTGTCAAAAATTAACAATCAACTAATTATAAGTAAAACATTAATTGATTGTTTTAATTATGAATCCAAATAATCGGGATTTTGGTACCTATTTATTTTTTTTGTTTATTGTCTGAATTACTATAAATTATTTAAAATTTAATTAAAAATTTAGTAAAAAATTTTATCATATTTTAAGAAAAAAATATTACTCTTCAATTTATAATAGAAAATAAATTAAAATTAAATAATATTAATATAATATTAATTATGGTACATTTTACCAGTTTTGTGGTTTGTAAAAATAATTTGTATTATACTTTTGTTATAATTTTATTATTACAATGTAGTAGAACAAAACAAAGTAATTAATTAACACTTAATAATTTCTTACTATTATTACCTAATAAATGATATTCCAAACACAAATTTATACATTTATTAATAAGAAATCTATAAATTAATTACTAATAAGAACAAACAAATTTCAATGAACCAATTAACAAGCAGCCACCTCTTTTCAATATCACACTACTTTCTCTCATTTTCGGACTTCGTAGCACTTGAAATGGTTTGCAAGAAGTTCAGAAATATCACACAAAATTTTACATCGAATCCAATTCCTCTTACAAAGAAAACTCTCAAGCATTTCCCACGTGTAAAAACACTGAATTTATGGAGTGAAAACGATGAAAATTTTGGGTACGATTTTACCGGTAACATTTCAGAAGACGACGACGGAACAGATATCTTTAAAAATGAAACTAATACCACAACCGTTCCACCTTTTGATTTTGATGACGAAAGTGCGCCGTCCGACGGAAACAGTCAAATTTTCCTTTCAAATAATTCCGAAGACACAAATAACACCAAAACTGAAGAAAACGCCTCTAAAACCGGAAATTGTGACATTCAAGACTTTCAGAAAGAGAAATCCGTTCAATCGAATGAGCAACTTAATTTTCATACAGACGAAGATGTCTTCTGTGATATGACAAAAGTAGACAAAAATACATTTGCGAGTGTTGTGGTTTGGTATGAAGTCGATTATGAAACGTTTCTGACATCTAAAGACACACTCATCACTTTTAAGCGCGTGACATACACTCAACTCGATAGGAAGACGTACGGCGACACCATTCCGCCCATTTCAACGTCTTTATCTCCAAATTGCTTTTTTCAACATTCAATTCAAACCGTTTGTATTCCACAAAAAGTCACTTCCATCGGCGACTCGTGTTTTTCAAATTGTGCCGCCCTTTCAAAAATTTCGCTTCAAAATTTCGTTCAAATAATCGGGGGGAGTGCCTTTGAAAATTGCAGCCATTTAACCGAAATAACTCTTCCAAATTCCGTCACGTCTCTTCGCCAAAAGTGCTTCTCCAATTGCATTCTTCTCAAATCGGTGAAGCTCTCAGATTCTATTCCAGCACTTCCAACTTCTTGCTTTTCCCACTGCGAAGAACTTCAATATATTCAAATCCCAAACTCAGTCTCTTTCATCGGAGAAAAGTGCTTTAAAAACTGCGGATTGACGGCCATCGAATTTTCCTCTGACAAAACAGACATGCCTTGTAACCCTAATAACAAAACCCCAACCCCAACCCTAGTTCTTGGACATTCGTGTTTTTTCAATTGTGCGAAGTTGGTAACCGTGAAATTACCACAAAAGAGTGTGAGAGTTGGGATTCAATGCTTTGAGAAGTGTGAGAAGATGAGTTTGATAGAGAAAATAGACAATGTGACAGAGGTACATAACAATTCCTTTTCAAAATGTTGTTCTTTAAGTACTTTATTGGTACCAGAAGACAACGTGGAGGTACCGGATTTCTGCTTTGAGCACTGCAAGAATGTGCGTTCGATTAATATTCCAAACAAAACGACGTCTTTGGGAGAGTCGGCGTTTTCGTGTTGCAAGCGAGTGACTTCCGTTGACATGACAAATGTGTTAAAAATCGGCAAGAAGTGTTTTTTCAGATGTTCCAAACTTCCATCTGTCATGTTTTCAAGGAATTTGAAATTTCTTGGCGGTGAGGGTTTCTGTGAGTGCACGACGCTCTCGAAAGTGGTGTTGCCGGAGAGTCTCACACAACTTGGTGATGGCTGTTTTAGGAAATGCGTTTCATTGAATTCTATCGAGCTGCCAAAATCACTTGTTTCTGTCGGGTGGAGGTGTTTCAGTGATTGTTCGTCTTTGAGCGCAATTGTGATACCACAAAGTGTGAAAGAAATAGGGAAGGCGTGCTTTGAAAATTGTGTGAAGCTACAGGAACTGCAGTTGCCTGACAATTTGAGAAGCGTTGGGGGGACATTGGTCACTGTATTTAAACCAAGTGAGGTGTATGAAATGGTTGGAATATCAAAATTGTGGGATGGGTGTGAGAGAGATATCTTTTGGAAAAGCCAATATAAACTTAATTGAATTTTTATAACTAGTGGTTTTAATCTGGTGAAAAACGAATTAATTGATCTATTTTTTTATTAATAAACGGTTTTGTGGTGACAATAAAAACAGGGGAAGATAAATATTTTGAATAATTTATTGATAATATCTCTTAATTAGTTTCGATTGTTTTATATGAAAAATCTAGATGAAATAAAATACAGATTGATTAATACTGTTATAATTTAAATATTATTTTTATGGTCGTTTTTAGCAAACTAAACTTATTGTTTACAGATAAAGTAATTCCTTGATGAGTTTATAACTTATTTACAACAACAAACAACATTTAAAAACAGTTTTATAAGAAAAACAAATGTTAAATATAACAATTTATCTTAACACTAAAAATTACATTGAGCAAAATTTAAGTGTTCAAAAAACAGGAAATATCAAAATGATGATATACTTTTTTGTTATGTGCACAACATTACATAAGGAAATCAAATGGCTAAATATACTGTATAAGTAAGTTTAATCAAAAAAAACTTGGGTGTCATTTAAGTGTTGAAAAAATATTCACATTTTATAATTTTACTTGGTGCCTTTTCAGAACTTTATTTTAAATTGTCATTGATTATTTAAAAATAAAATATCTGTATATTTTAAAATAATTCCAGTTTACAACATTTAAAAATGTGAATTGTTTGGTTTTTTGAAAAAATAAATAAAAATGTGAAAAAAGTAACTGTATCACTTTTTGAAAAATAATGGAAAACATCAATTATATTTTTGAAACAATTAGGTATAAAACCAAAAATAAAAGTGATGAAAGTGAGATATAATATCATCTCAAATACTTTTTTTATCATAGTCAGTTATAATTTATTACATGAAGATAGCTTGAGTATAACATTACTAATTGCATTATCTTTTGGTGAATTTCAGTCTGGAGAAAGATCAACCAATAAGGGGAATATTGGATTGAGAAATAAAAGAATTTCTGCTTTTGGTGAAGAAATAATAGAAAAGCTCCTAACAACAGAAAAACGATTTTTTGAAGTGTTGACTCCTTTTGTAGAAGATAGTTTTTTAATCAACAGACTTTTTGAACAAAAAGAAAAAGATTATTTTGTTGATCTGTGGTCACAACATAAACCTTTATATTTCAAAATCAAAGAAGCCAAAGAACATCCAACCAAAAATACATTGAAAAAGGCATTAAAATTATTCAAAGGTATTTTTAGAGAACCAAAAGTCATTGAAAATTACAAGAAAATAGCTTTCAATTATTTATTTTGGGAAGATACAATTCCAAGAGATAATTATGGTTCTCTTCGAATTCACGACTCAATGAAAGCAGTTATTGAAAATTTGAAATGGATTTATAATATTTTGAAAGACCTTAAAACTGAGCCCATTATGGAGTCCAGTAAAAATTTAGAAAAAGCAATAGAAAGTGTCAGAGTTGTTTATTATCTTGTTAAAGGGCATATTCCACAAAGTAACTGGGACTAAATAAAGTATTTTAATTAAATATCGTACTATTAAAAATAGAATCATTAGTAAATTGGTTATAAATTAACTCTAAAAGAATTATAAGTCAAACTAAAATTATTAATAGTTTTAATGTAATTTTTTGATATTAAACACCAATAAATATTATATAATGACTCTTACCATAATACACTTTAAAAATATATATATATTAATATTAACAATTAAGTATACAAAATAACATTTGAACTAAATTATTTCTATTAAGTTAAGAAGTGTTTATTATAACAACAGACACGTTTTCTTATTCTTTTCAGTGTTCATTGTATTCAATTTGTCTTTATTCTGTTTCATTTCACCAGTTTTACGATTTTTGTTCTCTCGAAATATCATTATTTCCAACAACTTTTCAAACACATCTCTTACACCAATTTTCATTTTTACCGAAATTTCAATAAAGGGACTATTGTATTTTTCAGCAAGATTTTGTCCGTCATCGGTCGACACTGCTCTGTCTTTTTCAAGGTCTGTTTTATTACCCACAATTACTACAGGTATTTTCGAAATGTCATCAATTTGTTTGTACATCATAATTGTGTTAATTGAATTTGGAACATCGTTAAACGACTCTTTTGAAGTGATTGAATATTGAACTACAAAACCGTCACTCTCCATAATATGATATTTGAAATAATTAAGTTCATCATCATTAGTACCATATGTATCGATTATATCCATTTCATACATCTCAGAATCAATTTTAAATCTTTCAAAATATATGTCTTCTATTCCCGGATCATATATTACAACAAAATGATTGGAAACAAGCATTATTATCAAAGAAGTTTTACCAACATTACTTTGGCCAACTACTGTGACTTTGAATCTTGACTTTGTCATAAGTATCTGATAATTAAGTTAATTATTTCAATATTTAATTTGTTTTTTTTCTTAGTTTAATTTTAATATATTATATATATTTATAAATATAAAATATGAAGTGAAGTTTGAATTAAAATTATTTAAAAATGTATAACATTTACTACTTTAATATTACAACAAATCATTTTCATATCATATTATGATAAATCAATATGTAAGTTTTTTATAACAGTTACAAATATGGAATTTAAAATTATTTGTTATTAAATAGCAAACTAACACTTATGATAATAACTTTGTATTATTCGTTGACTCGTTTTTTTAAAACATTTATTTATTTCAATGTTAATTGTTTTAACTGGGTATTTTGATAAACTTTTTGATCTTTTAAAAAAAGGAAAAGTATCGTAATTACTTTACATTTATTCATATTTCTGCCTATTTCATTTTTGAGTGATAATGTTGAAATTAAAAAAAAAACAAATTAACTTCATTTTTATATGATAAAATGTTTATCTTATAACAATTTTCAAATACAGATATTCAAGATTTAGTTGTGTTGAAATGTATTTTAACAAAACAAAATTATGTGTTTTTTTCAAAGTGAATTTTAAAAAATATTATATAAATTATGAAATAAGATTATATCAACTATATAAGTTAAATACTTTGAATATTTATTCTTTTGTAAAAATCGTCTTACATTAAAGTGTATTATTTTATCAACAAAATTCATTATAAACATTTTAAAAAAGTACAATACAATGAATACTATATATTTGATAAAATAAATAAAAAGTAAAAATTATTGCCATTAAATGTTTGGTAAATATTAAATATTAAAAATTGTTACATGGTGCAATTTGTAATATAACATGTATTGAAAATTGAAAAATAAAAATAAGAATTGATTGTTAGATTATTCTCAAATACACTTTGATTGATAAATAATTTATTTTAGTTTTAAAATAATTTAATTTTTAAAAGACAACAACTTTGTATTTTCTTTTTTTTCAACATAACCAACATTTATTTGAATCCTTTTTAAATAATCATTATCATAACAAGACATATTAATTTGAACTTGCGTTTTCGAAAATCAATTCACAATACAATAATAAAAGTAAAATCAGTATATACATAATTATATTTTTATCGCCTAAAACATATTATTAAAAATTTCACTTCAATCATCAATATCAAAGAGGTGATTTGTCTAATCAATCTGTTATAAATCGTATTTCTGATAATATATATCAATAAAACGACAATATGTTGATAAAAAAATATTTAAAAAATCTTGTAGGGTGAAGTTCTCAATCACAACCAATTGTGCTTAATGAACTTGCCACTCTTTCTTGTTTACTTTAGTAGAAAACATATATATTATGTTTAAATTGTTCATAAACAATAATCTTTATGCAAGATATCAATTTGTGACATATTTATTATTATTGGCATTATGGGGTTTGTTCATTACTCGAGGAGACTTTGGTGGACAATAAATAATTGAAATCATATTGTATACAAAGTTTCGATTTCATAATTATAACTGTACTATATTTAATAACACATTTATTAAAACATTAATTATAATTATTAAAAAATAATTTTGTTGATTTTTAAATAATAATTGTATCCCATTATTTTATTATAATAATACTATTAAAATGGTAATAATTTGAAACATTTAAAACAGCCTTGTTTAGATTTGTATTTTTATTAATTGTACATCTACTTACTAACTTTTGTATTTCTAATAAACAATTCACATTGTGCAAATTAAAATACTTATTATAAACAATTCATTTTGTAAAATAAGTGCAAGGGTGTTTATATTTTTTAGTTATTATTAACAATGATTATAATACAATACAATATATCCCAATGCCTAATAAAATTTACAGTCCTTATATTTTGCAAAATCAACAAAAATAATATTTACAAAAAGATGGACCTTCTGAACAGCAAAAGTAGATAATAATAATTCAATTGTATTTTTTACTTCAACAGACTTTATAATTACACATTCGTTATTTCTACTTTAATAGTAAACATGGCATCAAATATAAATAACAATTCAAAAAATAATTATTAATAACTATTGTACCTATACTATTTTTATTCAAATTTAATAAAGTTTAACTAAACAATTGTTATTAATTAATAAATTATAATTAATTAAATTAAAAAATTACAATTAATTAAATTAATAAATTACAATTAATTAAAGTTAGTAATTTTTAATAGTTTTATAATTATTTTATTTACTAAAAATTTAATTTTAAAAAATCCCATTTTTTTTTAAACACAAAGCCCTAGACAACATTTTTTCAAATACGAATATTATAGTTTAAAATACTATTAAATACCACTTTTTTAGTTATATTTAACACCTTTAAAACAATTCAAAAAGAAGACCAGAAACTCAAAAATCGACCAAATCAAAAAGCCAAACATGTCGACAGACGCAACAAAATCCGTCACTTCAAAAGTCACAAAAACACCAAATGCAGATCTTCCAAAATCGACTCAAACAGAACCCGCCTCGTATTTTATTAATCTTCGAGGCTTTGACAAATCGACCACCGACGACGTCGTCAAATCTCTGTGTGATGAATTCCACCCGTTGTGTTATGACATCCAACACTTTGACAAAGATGTCAAGTTCAACACTTACTTGATTGAAACTGAATCTCCCGAAGCTGCACAAACACTAGTTGAACGCCGAAATAAGAAGTCGTGGAAACATCACACCCTCTCCCTTTCAGTTGAACCTTCCGACACGACAAAACGGTTTGTGAAAGCCCAAGGACTACCTCCACGTGTGACTGATGAGATGTTGAATGATTATTTCAAGAACCTTGGTGTTAAAAGTATTAAGAAGAATGAGGCCAAAGTCGGAGAATTGAAGGGGAACGTGTACTTGGGCTTTAAAGACTTGGAAACTGCAAAGAACGTGATGATTAGCATCGCAAAGAAGTTGGAGAGTATGGGTGTCCGCGCGTCATGTTGTAATAAAAATAAGAACGAACTTGGACTCTGCTTCATTTGCGGAGAGTTCGGACACCCCGCGTTTAGATGCCCTTTGAAAAAATCAGAGGAAATGAAAATCGAGAAAAAGGAACAGAAGAAAGTCGTCGAACAAAAACCATTTGAAAGAGAAAAGAAACAACCAAAGAAGAAGAGAGAAGGAAAAAGTCAGAAAAAGACTGGAATGGATGAATGAAGTTATTAACTCTTTTTTATTTTAACCTTAAGAAGTGAAAACTGAATAATTTCTACAAATAGAGTATTTAATGGGTGCCAAGAAATTAGAGGATTGATTGATGAAAATATTCGGGTTTTAATTTTTTGTTTTTCATTTGTTTTTTCTTGTTTATAATTGTTATGAAAATGGGTGCCAAACTCATTTCAATTCTTGAAATAATTCTGGCACCTAATAAGTTTCTGGCACCTCGTAAATACTCGATCTATATTATTGTTTTTACTTAAAATAAGTCACTTTTGTTAATTTGGTATTTGAACTAAAAAGATCTTTAATTGAGAACGGCGTGTCACAAATAATTTAGATTATGAAAAACCAATAAATTCTGAGCGCTTCAATAAAAACACTTATGTATGTCTCGTAACAGCAAGTATTGACCAATTTTGAACACGTGGGAAATGGAAACATTGGTATGTAAAGACTATCAGGTTGCGCGAAAACTAATCGATTTTGTGTTTTTGAATTTGTTTTTAATTATTCTAAAAATACATTATGATCAGGATGAATTTATCCAGTTTCACCTTCCCACAAAAAAAAGTTGATTCAGTTGACTTGCTAAGGTTAATTAAGTTTTTTTAATGACTTTTAAATATTAAAAGTCATTTCAAAATAGGGTTTATTTTTTAATGTTAAAAATGACACAAATCACTCTTTTAGTGTGCTAGAAATAATTTCAAGTCATAAGCATTTAATTGTATGTCTATGACTTAATATAATATAGAAATCAACCTTGTAGCATACTGCAAAAAAATCAAAGTTGATACATCAACAATGTAAGTTACACAATAATCACAGCAGTTGGATATTAAAAAACTCGGAATTTGATTGATTTACAATTGAATAATTGTCAATTATATGTTAAATTTGTTATTTTGTATAATATTTATTAATGTTTGTAATAAATTATTATTCTTATTCTTATAAGTTATTAGTTTTTTATCCATAAAGTTGTTACAATTATAAATGTAATATTAAACAATTTTGTAACCAATTTAAACCAAAAAGTGAATTACTCACTGAGAGACAGACTTGACCTTGTCTATCACATGCTGTTCATCAAGTTCGATGTACCCAGTCGCCTGAATTTCGACAGACAATCCAACAAATGCTTGCTTGATTGTCGCCTTGGTTGCCGAATATACCATTTTCTCTTTGATGGAGCAAGCAGCTGGAGTCCACAAGTAAAAGATGATCTTTTCTCTTTTGCCACTTCCTTGGTTGTATTGAAGGTGATAAACGCCGTAACGGGCTGACTTTGGTGGAAGTGCTTTGGTAAAATCTTCATAAGTTTCATCGAAAGGAGCTGTTTTATCAACGACAATTTCTGTCATCTTGTCGTTCATCTTGAAAAGAATGTATCTCCACTTGTGGGACAACTTGAACTCGTTGTAAAGAGAAGTAACTTCGTCGCTTAATTGAATGCCAGACATTGAGATGATCTTTCTGTTTTGGTGGTGTTTTTATACCTTTTCAAATCTATTTTTATTATTTCTCAATTAAAAACAAACAACAAACTCCAAATCTTGTTTTTTCAACTCGAGTTGTTGTGAAGTTTCTATTATTACTCAATTTTTTGTGTTTTATATAATAAGTTTTATAATATTTTTATTAAAATTGGTTTCTTAAAAGTTTATAGTTTTATCAATAAGTTATATAAATAGTTAAAATGTATTATTATTTATAGTATTTATATTTATTGTGTATTTTTGGAAATAATTGATTTATATATCACAAAATTATCAATAAAAACAAAATTAACAAAAAACTATTATATATAATAATTTTAACAATATTATATTGTTTTAATTATAAAGGATTGTTATAACAAAAATAATAAGTGATTATAAAAAATATAAAATAAAAATACAAGTGATGTTTCATTTTAAAAAAGAAGTCCACAACGTCAAAGTTTTATCACGATCATCACCTTTTGTTTCACAAAAAATCATTATTATTTAATTTTGTTTAATGTTTAAACTGGTTTTTATCCATATTGTTTATAAAATTAAAAAATTAGTTTTGTCCCAAATGCAATGAATGGTATTTTCCAAGTAAAATAAAATGAATTTGGCATACAAAGTGCCTTTTGTTTATAATAGGAATAGTATTATTATAAGTTGGTACATTTTTTGTATTTATAACACGTTTCGTTGTACAAAATATAATTAAAGTTGTTATAAGAATTTAACAAAAATCCACATTTTAATATGTAAATGTCATTATTGTTAATAAGTCTGACAAAAGAGTACAGATTATATTACAGTAGGGAACATGTACTTTAGCCCAAAGAAATTCCTATATTTTTCTTTAAAAACACGGGTTTTTACTAAAAAACAATTATTTGAAAAAAATGACTTATATATAGGTATAGTTTATTTTTTTAATATAACAATAAAAAATAATTAGTTTTTATTTGTGCTAAGGTTAATTTGCTGGGCGAAGGTTTAATGGACCAACTGTAATTATAATTTATCAATTTGAAGTGTTTAATTTGAGTGAGGCTTATTTTATAATCAAATCAAATTATTGACATTTTAAATGATAATAACGAATTAAAAACAAAATTAAAACGTACAAATGCTAATGAATTATCATAATGGCAAATTCATATAAATGGGTTTTTTAAATTAATTTTTAAATTTACATTGTGTTGGTTATTATTTTATATTTTTAATTGTTCAATATTGAAAACTGAAAATACAAATTTTTATTGTTATATTTACAGATCAAATATTAACTAGGTGCCAGAGAATTGTTGTGCGCCAGTATTATTATAATAAATAAAATAAGTTTGCCTCCTATTTTCAAATTATTTTTAGAAATAGAAATAAATAAAAAATTAAATTTATCACTTTCACAACCCAAAACTTTTTTTTAAAAAGAAAAATAAGTAAAAAAGAAATTTTCTAAATCATTTTTTGATTATTTTTATTCAAAAACCCCTTTCTAACCCAAACCGGCCAATAGTCAGTTTTATTTTACTTAAAATAATTAACAAATGAGAACTCAATTACCTAAGATTGATCAAAAATAATCTTTTTGGATGAAATTTCATATCGCTTTATTGTGTTTTAACATTTAATATAAAAACGCTACATCGTCAATCCACTTTATGACAAACAATGTCAAATAGTCACATTAACAAATATAACGACAATATAAACACCAATATCGTTATAACTAAATGACAATATTCTCTTTATAAAAAAACAACCAAATTTATTAAACCATCATTAGACCCCATCTTTCTTTTTTAAGCTTTGCTCTTGTTTTACACAAACAAACTCATTCATGTTTATTTGTGTGACTATAAAATATACAATTCAAATTTGAGTTGATAAAAAAATAAATAAAAATTTTCAAAAATTTGTTTTGTGTATGAAGGCAAAAAAAGGTTTAGGTAAAAGAAAAAAAATAAAAACTTATTATTATTAAGTTTCTGTTTTGAACGTGTTATATTTTGCATCATACTTTTTTCATTTTTCAGGCACCCATTTAATTTTCAATGTGTATATACAACAACAAAATTTATTATTAAAAGCGTTTTTTTGAATTATAATAACAGTCAAGACTTTAATATTTGTGTCATTTTTAGTAACACTATCTTTTTGTGATAATAATAAAATTTTAATATATTAAATTTTTTTATTTTTATGTTTAATAATTCTTTTTGTTTTTTAGCAATAAATTATTATTTAAAAATAATTATAATTATTATAATTATAATTTAAATGCAATAAATTATTATTTAAACAAAATTTAACTTATAATTCAAAATCAATTTCTATATAATGTCTTTTATAATAAAGGCGTGTTTCATAGGCTCTCCATATACAGGAAAGACAACCATAATAAAACAAATCAAAAATCAAGTACATCTTGATGATAATTATGTCGCCACAATTGGTGTCGATTTTACTGTTTGATTTTATAATTCGATTCATTTTTAGAAATAAAAAACATTATAGTATATAAAAATTTATTAACAAAAAGTTAAAAACGTTTATAATAGACAGAGAAATATTTGAAGTACAACTATGGGATATACGTTTGTCTCTTTATTACATATATATTCACGTGGAATATACATTAACTGTATTTTATAGTTATACGAATTGTATTAATAATATTTTCAAAATCTTGAAAATAATAATTATTTGTTTAAAATCCAACAAATATTTTTTAGTAAAAATAATGAAAATAACAATTAAAATAAAAATTTAAATAATGATTCAGCCTGTGAAAAACGATATTTGATGAGTTATGATGTTTATCATATGTTTGTTCTATTATCAGATACATATAATTATCTTTAAATATTTTAATAATGATTTATTAGTAAACAAGAAAATGAATATTAATTTTAAGACATGCTGCTGTAGTATTTTATGTATATTCAGTTCAAGATAAAAATACATTTGATAATATAACCGAATTGATTCAATATGGCAAAGACACTGAAAATCAAATTAATGTGATTATTGGTACCTTTGTAGATGACACGAAGAGAAAAGTCGAAAAAAGTCATGCAGAGACATTTGCACAAGAAAATGGGTGTTTTTATTTGGAAATTGTCAATTTCTTTGAAAATGATATCAACAACATATTGGTGTTAAAAATATATGAAGCGTACAACAAAGGATTATTTACACGTCAAAAAAGAGTTTTTTCGCAACAAATAAAAGAAAAGAATAAACAATGTTTTTTTCAGTAACAACAATTAAACTTTATTATTATATATTTGTGTTTATTTAAAATAAAATAGTAATTATATTATGAAATAAATATCAAATTTGAATTACTTTTTTATTTTTTATTGGTAGAGTCTATCTTTAAACATTATCTGGTACATCCCAATTGTTACAGGTCATAACCATATATCTAATGTTCAATGTCTATGTAAATTAAAGCTATTTTTGTTTAACAGATAACTTTAAAAAACTGACTCTAATCAATTATAAATGCAAACAACATATTAATTTTTATCATAGTTTATAAACTATAACTATTGATAATCTTATTTTTATAATATAGTTATTATTTTTAAATTAAAAAACATTTTTCAAGATAATCAACAATGCTTAAAAAAAATAATTTAACAAAATTAATTAATAATTTAAATTTAAAATATTATATTTTTATAGTATTAGTCTAACTAATAACTAGTAGTTATAATGATTAAAGCAATATAGTATTTTATGGTAAAAATATAATTATATAAAATAATTATTATAAATAATAAAAATAATTATTATTATAATAAAAAGTAATATTTCTTAATTATTAATAATTAATTATTTTAATAATAAAAATAAATGTAATTATTTAACTTTTCCCCGAAATGTAACTTTAAAAGTATACAAAATAATTATTGTCTCTTGTATCTCCGATATTTTAGAAATCGTTGAATTGTAATTATAAAAAGCTTTTAGTTAACTTTTTAGTTGTTTTTTTAATATAAAAACTATATATTTTTAATTTGCAGTTAAAAAGGAAAAATAAAAAATGTCAAAATATTTTTAAACAAGATAAAGAGTTTTTTATTTACAAAAAATTGTGATATTACTATAAAAATAGTAAAAATGAATTATAACAAATCCATAAGAAAACAACAAATCGTATTTTTTTAAAAATAGATTTATCAAACAGATTCTTAAAAAACGGTCGCCACAGAAATAAATAATCTTAGACAATTATATATTAATATTAAGACTGTAATGAATAAGATTGTTTACACTTATTTTAAAAGAACATGTAATTCAAAAGTCGTTGTATATGAAACAAAAACGAATCACAAATAAGAAGAAAAGAAAACCCTCAATCTCATTCGACAAAACGATGGACAAACACCAAAACACAAGTTTGACAATTAAGTCTTATCAAAACGAATTTGCACAAGCCGGGGGACATGGAAGTGAAAGAGCTTTAGTTCCACAGGGGAAATATTTATTAAAACCAAATCCTTCACAACGAGTTTGTATTATTTGTTTTTATCATATCAAAGTATTAATATATTAATATTAAAATATTTAAATATAAGTATAATTCTATTGTTTTGATTCATTGATTACATTTGTTCATTCAATGAAATTTTTTATTATTTCAAATAATTAGTATTGTGTACTCATCAAGTTATCAACAAAATGTAATAGTAAATTGTTACTATTTAAAACTAATTTTTTTAATTACAGAAAATTTAA